AGATTCAGTCAGTCATCACATCTGAAAACACACGAGATGATCCACTCTGGAGAGAAACTGTACGCATGTGATCAATGCGGGAAAACATTTTTGAGAGCTTCAGTCCTGAAGAAACACCTGAGAGTTCATACAAAGGAGAAACCACATTCATGTAATTTGTGTGGAAAGAGTTTTTCACATCTACAAAGTTTGAAAATACATCAGAAAATACATACTGGTGTGAGAGATTACATGTGCTTTGAGTGTGAGAAGACTTTTACTTCAGCGAGCCATTTAAAACTGCACCAGAGGATTCACACTGGAGAGAAACCTTACAAGTGTTCACACTGTGACAAGAGATTCAGTCGGTCAGGAAATCTGAAAACACACGAGATGATCCACACTGGAGAGAAACCGTGCACATGTGATCAGTGCGGGAAGAGTTTCACACGAAAAGGACACCTTACAGCACACATGAGAGTTCATACTGGAGAGAAACCTTTCACTTGTGATCAATGCGGGAAGAGATTCTCACACTCTGCAAACCTTAAGGTACACAAGAACATCCACACTGGAGAGAAACTCTACACATGTGATCAGTGCGGAAAAACATTTTTGAGAGTTTCATACCTGAAAACACACCTGAGAGTTCATACAAAGGAGAAGCCACATTTATGTCATTTGTGTGGAAAGAGTTTTGCACGTCTAGGACATTTGAAAGAACATCAGAAAATACATACTGGTGTGAGAGAGTACATGTGCTTTGAGTGTGAAAACACTTTTACTACAGCGCAGTGTTTAAAACTGCATGAGAGGATAAACCTTACAAGTGTTCACACTGTGACAAGAGATTCAGTCGGTCAGAAACCGTAAAACAACATGAGAGGATTCACACTGGAGAGAAACTTTACAAGTTTTCACACTGTGACAAGAGATTCAGTCGGTCAGAAATTCTGAAAACACATGAGAGGATCCACACTGGAGAGAAACCGTATCACTGCACTGCATGTGGGAAGCGTTTCACTCAATCATCTAATCTACACAGTCATACAAAAAACAATCACAGTAAGTAGATCATCTTCAGATCCGGCACTTTCAGGTCTGATGCTGCTTCCTCACCAAATGTGAAACAATAATGCATCAAGCAGTGAAATATCATCTGGATAAATCTGTC